ATTGCAATCCGCCTTAAAAAGAATAGGGGTGGACATGGTTGAACCCCCAGAAAAAACTGCAGCAGGGCATCACTATATACTAGTGATCATAGTCAGGTATCCAGAGGCTCTTCCTCTCCGCTCCCCGAAAGCAACAACTATAGCTCCAGAGCTCTTGAAGCTCTTCTCACAGGTAGGGTTTCCCTGTGAAATATTAACAGACCAAGGGATTAATTTCATTTCCCAACTGATGCAGGAATTATGCTCCATTCAGAAGGTCAAGTCCCTGAGGACCTCGGTGTACCATCCACAAACGGCCAGTCTAGTAGAACTGTTTCATAAGACCCTGAAGGGGATGTTGATGCCCTTTGTCACAACAACCCCAAGCTGTGGGACTGGCTACTCCTACCACTTCTATTTGTCACAAGGGAGGTCCCACAAGCCTCTAAGGGGTTCTCTCCATCTGAGTTGCTATATGGTCACCAACTGTGGGGCATGTTGGACCTGTTGCAAGAAGGGTGAGAAAAAGAAGATGTGGGGGCCTTAAACACGACCCAATATATCTTTCAGTTAAGGGAGCAATTCAGAAACAGAAGGATGTTTGCCAGAGAGAAGTTGAGGAATATCCAGCACACCCAGGAACAATTACAATAAGGGGGCTATAGACTTTTCAGCCAGGTGATCATGTTCTTCTTCTGCTGCCCTCAGCCAAGTCTAAATCAATGGCCTGATGGCAGGGTCCATTCAAAGTGGTCAGGAAGGCAGGGCCTATGGACTATGAGATCAAACTACCCGGGAGGAGGAAGGAAATCAAGGTCTACTATGTGAAATCAAGGTCTACTATGTGAAACTTCTCAAACCTTGTAGAGCCCTGCTGATAACTCCTTCAAGCAAAACCAGAATTGGGACCCCAGGGGCCTAGCGGCGAAGCTCCAGCAACAGTACCAGGTGATGAAAGACTCTCCCCTGCACAAAGGAAACAAATTCTCTCAGTAATTGGGGACTTTTTTGCGGTGTTCTGCCACCACCTGGGGAGAACACGATTGGTTCAACATCACCTAAAGACTACCCCAGGCCAGATAGTCCAAGAGAACCCTAGACCCTTATCACGAAGGATATGGGAAATGGTCTGAGAGGAAGTACAAGTGCTAAAGATGGGGATGATTATAGAATCCAAAAGTGAATGGAGGTGCCCCATAATTCTAGTTCCCAAGCCAGACAGTATGGTTTGATTCTGCATTGACTTCAGGAAGGTCAGCGCCAACACAAAATTCTACGCCTACCCAATGCCAAGGGTGGATGAGTTATTAGAATGGCTGGAACCAGCGAAGCACCTGAGCAGTATCGACGTGACAAAGGCTTACTGGCAGATCCCCTTATCCCCATGCTCACAAGAGAAAATGGCTTTGTCCACCCCTTTTGGGCACTTCCAATATAAGACCATGGTTTTTGGCCTCCACGGAACTGTTGCTACCTTCCAACGGCTTATTAATAAGATCTTCAATCCCACCATCAATATGCTGCAGCATACATCATCAATATCATCTACAGTACCACCTGGGAAGACCACTTACAGCATTTATAGGAGGTGTTAAAAGCGCTATAGGAGGTATGACTTACAGCCAACCTGGCGAAATGTAAGGTGGCTATGAGCGAAGTGACCTATTTGGGGTACTGTGTAGGACAGGGGTGGGCAAACTTTTTGGGCCGAGGGCCACATCTGGGTGGGGAAATTGTATGCAGGGCCGGGGCCGGTGGTTGGAGGGCGGGAGGGAGTACGGGGTGTGGGAGGGGCTCAGGGTAAGGAATTGGGGCAGAGGAGGGGTGCGGAGTGCAGGAGGGGACTCAGGGCATGGGTTCAGGTGCAGGAGGGGTGCGGGCTGTGGCAGGGGGCTCAGGGCAGGGGGTTGGGGTGCACAGGGGTGCAGGGTGCAGCAGGGAGCTCAGGGCAGGGGGTTGGGGTGCAGGAGGGGTGCGGAGTGTACGAGGGGGCTCAGAGCAGGGAGTTGGGGGGCAGGAGGGGTACGAGGTGCAGGCAGGGGGCTTAGGGCAGGGAGTTTGGGGGTGGGGTGCAGAGGGGTTCAGGCTCCGGCCCAGAGCCGCTTACCTAAAGCGGCTCCGGGGTGGCAGCAGTGCGCACCGGGGCTGGTGCAGGCTCCCTGCACGCCTGCCCTAGCCCCGGCCTCACGCTGCTCCTGGAAGCGCTGTGGCCCCTGAGGGTGGGGGGGTGGAGGGCTCTGTGTGCGCTGCCCTTGCCGCACCTCCAGGTACCTCCCCCGAAGCTCCCATTGGCTGCGGTTCCCCATTCCCAGCCAATGGGAGCCGCGGGGGGTGGTGCCAGAAGCCAAAGGCAATGCACACGGAGTCCTTAGCCCTCCCTCCCCCAGGGCAAT